AGTCTAATACGTCGCGGGCTTGCTCGCGTCCCGATTCCCTGGTATTTTGGGAAGCGGGGCGTGACAACAACTAATGTGTAGCCGGCGATCAACTATATTACAAGACACAACAAACCAGACACTAGGAGAGAAATCACGCTTATGTATATAAGGTATATTCATGTTACTTATTTCTAATATCATAAGAGAAAAAAATATTAACGTTCTTCCTTTTTTCATATGCAGTGGAATGCCAATGCGTGCAACTTTATTTGGAGATTTGGCTACAAATGAAGGCTCAATTCTTGAAGCAGAAATCAAATATAGGCCTGTAATAGGATTATCATATTTTAAAATCTCTATATATCAAGGTACATAAATTATTGCTGAAATTCTTATTAAAGATAGCTAAACATAAAATTAATCCTATAATTTTCTCATTTTTGCAGGAGATACAAGCATATCGTTGCAAATTATTTCATTATTATGTATCAACCCAAAAATAGAACTAGCTAGCGAATTAAGGGAATGGTAAGCAAAACAAGCATACTTTCATATAACCCAATAATGAAATAGTATTATATTTTAATCTAATATGCAGGTTTCACTTGGAAGAAGCTGCAAAAGCAAAAGGATCTCCATCGACACTTTTTAAAAATGCCAAGGAAATTCATATTAGTGATATTATGCATACGTCACAGAATTCAATACAGGTACAATATTATATATATATTCTTATCTACAAATTTAAATCTAACTAAACTTTGTTAATATACAGCCACAGTATTGCACATTTAAGGTAAAGATAACTACTATTTTAAATAGGCTCGAACCATGGTTCTATGCTTGCAAAGGCTGTGACAAGAAGGTTGATAAAGATGTTTGTAAAGAGTGTCTGAATGACAAATACCGCGGAATCATTGATGACCCAGTACCAAGGTTAAGTAATATATTTTTTTTTAATCCATGAACATATTAAAATACAATACTAATTGTCTTTAAAAAGTAATAATGAAAAATACAGGTATTTAGTTAAGATTCTCGTGGAAAATGGCACGGATAATGCAAGAGTAACACTCTTTGACGCAGCAGAAACTCTTATTGGATGCAAAGCAGAAAAATTCATTACAAAAAAGAAAGAGGTAATTCCTAACTCTATTCAAGTAGTAAATTAGAAAATAAACAAATTGATAAGTATTAATATAACATTTGTTCTCATTGCAACAGAAAAATAATCAGAGTCCATATTTCTAAAATTTTATTTTGAACATCGGAAAAACATTCAAATTCCTGGTGAAGTTAGATGAAAAGACAAAAGATGAACGAGGCGAAGGCAATATAATAGCACAAGAAATTCAACCCCAGCCTGCTATTACAATCGACGTAGATGATGAAGATGCTACTCTAGAGTTGCCTAGAAAATAGATAAAGGTGAAGAAAGATTGATCTTGGTTCAATTAGAAAATTTCAAGAACAATATTTTTAAATCATTTTATATAACAACTTAATTTTTAATTATAATTAGGAATTTTTGTAAGGCATTTTCATGCAAAGTTATTAGTAGTTTTGTATGCTTATGTGATTGCTTACATCACATAAAATTACTCTTTGATATTTATCCATTTTACTATATATTATTATTGTCTATAGATATGATCCTACATTTCGTTAGAGGCAATCGATAAAAAACTGCTTTTATTGATCCTGTGAAAGGATATATTGTCAGCTAGACGTAAAGTACTCTTCCTGATAACTAGCACAACATGTGATCTAACATTTATGATATAAAGGTGGCCTCTTTAACCAATTGGCAAAGAATTACTGTTGTGATGATTTTGCTTGGGGTTGTCACAAACTTCAATATTCAATGTTTTCAAAAAAATCATTGGCTTACTAATTGTTACTTGTTGAGAATATTGCCATGTTGAATAAGGGACCTATTAGGTGTTGGTGGTGATCAATTTAAAATTCTTAGAAGAAAAAGAATTTACAAGTTTGCAGTAAATCAAACAATTATCTTAGCTTTTTGATTAAAAAATATTTGAATAAACTTAAAATTTTGAAATATTTTCTTCATTACTATAACTACAATTCATAATAACAATTACAATATCCTAGTTACATATATTCATCCAAGTTTAGCTTAAAATCCATTACATTTATTTTTATTAATATTTAAATAAAATACTAATAAATCTTATAATTCAAGTATACATATTTGAACTCAAGATAAATCTCACTTATTTAAAGTAATGAAATAAACATACAAAAAATATTTTTTGATATTTAATCACGTGCATTGCACGTGCATAAATATATATATAAGCATGTCTTCATCTGTGTACATACATCAATTCAGAGATCAATAACTTTTTTGGCTCTTTAATTTTTCTCTCTCCCCCTTCGATACTCTTTTACCATCAGGTATGCAAACATGGCTTTTTTTTGTTTGTATTATCAACTTTTATAGTTTAAGAAAGCTTACATGCATGGAATTTTTGAAGTCAATATTTATATCTTCTTTGTTTTTGGTATTCATAGCCTTTTTAAAGTTCTTATATACGTATAAGTTATACAAATAGTATATATCTATATATATATTTCTATACATATACTATTTGTATAATTTATACGTATGACCAATTATAAGCAGATCTTATATTCAAAAGATTTTTTTGGGAACTCTCATGACGTGGTCAAGTATGTCTAGTGCATCCCAAACACCCAGCTTAGAATTAAAATTTAAAATAGAATTGACGAGAAGGGGAAAAAAATATGTAAATAAATATTAAGGAAACTAAAAGTTGAATGCATATGATTTTTTTTGAGTATGCACTTCGCCTAGGATTATTTAGGCGGAAGCGTTTTCTGAAAAGAAAAGAACAGAATAAAGCACTTAAAAGGGATCTTGATGTGTGGGGGTATAAACTTCTTTTTTCCTAAAAGACCAAAGTGACCCTCGATGTGGGGCCCAGTTGGGG